GAGTGAGAATTCTCTTTGTCTTCCTTTCACCTCAATTTGTTCTTCAATCTCGTTTTTGCCATTGTTCTTAGTACTTCTTCCGTCCCATAATTATTGTCCAGTTTGAGTTTTCAGTTTTAATTCAAATTGTACTAAAAGTGAAATCTCAAACTGGACAATAATTTTGGGACAGAGAGAGCACATTTTAGCTCATTATTATTTTCATTTTCGCCAACGTTTAACCAATAGTGCATGGTAAATTTAACCTACGCACAAAGACTAGAGAAGATGATGCATTCCCAAAGTGTCCATTCTTATTTGGTGCAAATACTGAATGGGGCCCTACTTTCAATGGGCCGACGATGAATTGTTTGTTTTTCGACAATGTATCTTAAAGGAGCCTCATCAGGTAATAAGGGCTCAATTCCTTTGGTTTATAGTCCAACAAGGCTACAACGTCTCCTCTATCATACTCCTTCCATTACATTAGTAATTCATTTCTTAAACTTGTTTATGCAAAATTACCTTTCATCCTCGGTTGAGAATGGTTAAAGTACCTGTGAATTCGTAGGTTCAATTCCCTTCCTAATTGCTTTCTCTTTTTTGGATTCTCTTCTTGAAAACGTGACCAACATCCTTATTACACTAACAAAGTTTGTGACCTCGGATGGTGTTGTCATATACAATCCCAAAACAAAAGATCATCAACTTCTTAAATCGTTTGGTAATTTAAGTTTCTGCCTTCATCCACGAGATTCTGTACACACTTCAAAATTACTGGAGCACTTCATGCGAACATACACAAGGTTCTACACACTTTTATTATTCTCTCCGTCCCAAAAAAAATTCAAATATCAAAATTCGATATGAACTATTTTTTTTATTGTCATTTAGTATTTTTTTTTTGTGTGTGTGTAGTAGTGCAGAATACTACATTTTAAAAACTAAAAAAATTTCTAGATTATTGTTAATACAAGTTAATCTATGGGTTAAGTGCTTTATTTAATTGTTAAATTTGCTAAAAAGAAACGTTGTCCTTAACCCACAGAAAAAAATTGCTTTTGATTCTAACATTGTCTTTTCTTTTTCTTTTTATATAGTCTTTGCATCCAAATCACTGTTAATCGTACACGTGACTTTTGACTTTCTCAAAATGATTGTATAATTTCAATTTCCACTTTTGATATAAACTGTGTTAAAACTAAAGTTTTAAGCTCAAAAATCATTTTTGGAACAAAGAAAGTATTTTGTTCATTTCAAATATTTTTTTATTCAAGTTATTATATAAGCATATATAATAAAAACAGATATTAAAGATGAAGTTTAGAACATTTTTTGTTTTCCGATCATTATAAATAATTAAACAACACATTTTATAATGTGTAACTATCTGTTAGTCTCTAGAAACTTCGAGAAGTATTTCAGACATTAAAAAAAAAAAGAGAAACGAATAGTGTTTTGATAAGATCATACGTGTTACTTTCATGTTTGACACATCATTGCAAATACAACAAGTGGCATATGCAACCCTATCTGGATAGAGTATAAATGAACCATACTTGGGTGATATCCTCAACCACATCACAAACACTACACAAGGAGGATTTCAAACTTGAATTTATTTTTATTTTCGTCTAAGGAGGATTTCAAACTTGACGAACCGTAAGCCCTTGTGTCGTCGTCTTCGTAATCATAAACTACAAAGAGAGAGGGAGCAATAAAATCAAAATCCCCAAATCCAAAAGCTGATCCAAACAAAGCCCATAAAACTTTCCTTTTTTGATTTTGCTAACTTCCAAGTTCCCCAGTTCTTTGGACTTTTTAAACCAAAAGAAATGAAACTATATTTGGCAAGTTTCTCTTTTTCTCAAAGATTGACGTTAATGGGGGCAAATTTGGTTTGTCAGGCTTGAAATTCTCCTTTGATGGAGTAAAAATAACACGGATCTGAAGAAAGGGAACGGATTAAAATGGTCCCTCAATCTTCCTTGCCGGCCAGATCTGGGTAGTGGTAAGTTATCCCTTTTTCTCGATTGAAAGCTCCGTTTTCCTGGTTTTTTTTGTTTTTTTGTCTTCTTTCGCTCCTTGTAATTTTCTTGAATCTGGGAATCTCCTAATGAAATTTTCTGTTGTCTATTCAGATTGGAAGAGTTTTCTTATTGAGGATTTATCATTTATCCCAATCACTCTGGTAAGATGTCCTGTTTTTTTAGATGTAGCAGCAGTTTCTAAGCTGCAATTCATCACTACTGTTAGTTGAGCTTACTGGATGTAATAAATCCGCTGGTTTTGTATATCTACACAAGGGCTCTTTTTCTTTTGCTGGCATGAATGATGAATTTGAACATCCAAGCACTTCATCATCTGACTCTTGGATTTATCTGCAACAAATTATACCATATTTCTCTCTTTATTTGACCCGTAGTTAATAACTTCATTTGATTTCTAATTATTCCCATTGTCTTTATAATACTTGGCTATTAATGGTTGTGCAAATGATTAAGAATCCTAGAGATGGTGCCTGATGTTATAACTTAAAAGAAAAACCGATCATACTATACAAAGACAGACCACTCTTAATTGCCCATGTATTCATAGAGATTTGCATTATGAATAAACTAAGGGGCTGGGGGATTGCACATTATTCCTATTCTTTGTCATTAAATAAGTACAAGGTTGCACCAAGGGATTTCGTCACGGTTGATATTGATAATGTGGATTTATTTTTATAGTCACATTGTTGATGTTGGACAAAGTTCTGAGTTGATTGCTTGCCATGTTCTCCGGATGAAGTCCAAACGGACAAAAACAGAAAAGAAAGAAAAGAAAAGAATTCCTAAATGTTTCAAGAAGTTTGATGCGGTTTATGGCTTATGTTTCTTGAATTGTAGTAATTTCTTATTTTTCTTTAATCTTTGCCATGATCTATGTATTTATTGCTAATTCTGGTGACACATTCCCTGATCCATCTTGGTTTCTCTTCAAGTACTTTCCTTTTATACTTGAGTCTCTGTTCTGCTTTTTTTTTCTGTATTTTTTGAAAACTTCACAATGGCGCTTGTTTTGCTGGTTTTTACCATTGATTTGTGATACGATTGTGTGGGGAGAAAATTTTCGACCCTATCATTACTTGATGATAGTTCTACTACCTGTTTGATGTGTGTCGACTATAAATTTCAAGGGAATCATTTCTTTCATTCAATGGTGATGTACATCATTCTCTAGCAAACTTATTACCGGAATCCCTTCTTGGATAACCGTGGTTGAGTTTTCTGTCAACAATCTGTATAGTCCGGGTGCAGCCATGATCAGTATCATCGAAGTAAACAGATTGGCTACCACCTGACTGAAGAAATGGTCTGCTTGCCTACAGCATGTAATCTGAATTGAGGTTAAATGCAGATTTTCCACCGATGTTGCCTCTTTAACTACTTGATGCAGGTTCCTTGGTGAAATTCGCTGCATTATTCAGGATCGCATTTACAAACAGTGAGTTTGGCACCATGGTTTTGCTGAAGAATTCTTTGAGCATTTTTGTTTTCTTTTATTGGGATCACAAGTATCCCTAGTAAACAAGATGGGATTCCTGTTTATAAAACTTCTGTTGGAGAGATGTAATCAGTCGGAAAAAATGCAGAACATGCTTACTCTGCGACGCTACAGACGTGACTGGTGACTTTGAAGTTTGAAGTTTGAACTATTGTAACGTTTGATAAATTTCAGAGCATCCTCACGGTGATTGTGGTATCTGGACCCTATGAGTTTTTTGGTCTTTTAAATTTTTATTATTTATTTTTTTTTTTTGTAATAATGGACCCTATGAAATTTGATTTTGATGTTCAATCGTTGTAATGGAAAAGTGTTCTTCAACTTGCGAATGCATGTCACTAGATTTGTGACATAAGCATAAAGAGAAGACATTTTCAATGGCAAATTTCTTCTTAAATGTACTCATTCCGTTTCCAATATAAGAATTATTTATGATGAAAATGTATGTCTTTACTAAAATCTAGTAATGTAAGTAATTACACAGGTAGGGGCAACGATGATTCATGGCTTTGGATCACCATGCAAAGCATATTCTCTACATGATCCGATAGTCGCAAAAGCTAGTAAAGCTTTTATCAAAGGCTCATAATTATGACTGACCAGTCTGACCAGACCCCATGATGATTTTCAAAGACTAATCATACAAGAAACATCATTAATATAATGAAATGGCTAGTACTAAAATTTAACCCCAAAAAGTATAATTGCTGAATTAACACTATGAAAATGCATAAAATACTGGACATGTTTTTTTTATTTCTTCAAAAATGTAATTACTAATATTGTGCAACGCATCATTATCGAAGCTATTTAACGCTATGAAACAGAGTATTCTTCAATGGGAAAAGCCCAGCGGCCGACAGGAGTCCTTAATTTTTCTTAGTTAAAAAAAGGCTATCATAGTATAGTACCATTTGGTTCCCTTAGAAAAAGGTTAGAATCAAGTTTTTTTTTTCCCATTAACGTTGTGTCTTATTGTAGTAAGTAGGTTTAAGGTTACCAAGCCAACTGTTGAACTTGGAGTTGTCAAACTCCAAAGATGATATCTTTACATCTGTGTTTTTGACCATTCAAAGAAACCAAAAACAGAGGAAGGAAAATAATCCAGCTTTCCCCACAAAAAAAGAAAAAAAAAAATTCCATAGACATGCGTGAATAAATAAATGATACATGAAATGAAACCTTAAACAAAATAAATGCATTCTGGAAAGTTGGAACTGCAATATAGTACTACTTCCTGTTAGATATCTTACTACTTACATCATATTATCCATAAGAACACAAATTCTAGTAGCAGTTAAGCTCAAAAACTGATAAATGCTTTCCTCAAATTACCAAAAATAGAGAATGGTAATGGACTAACAAGTTAATCACTCAATAACGTTATTATATCCCATAAATTCATAAGTTCTGACCTTACAGAATCTTAACTTTGGAGTTTTAATGGCTTCTGCTCTGTTTCTGCTGCCACCTCACTTCTTGGCTTCCTCTGCTGCAGCTGGCTTTGCTTCCTCTGTTTTGGGTTTTTCTTCCGCCGATTTGGGAGGAGCCGGAGGCGGCGGAGGAGGAGGAGGAGGGATGCCGGAATCGATACAACTTCTGCACTTCCTTTCAATCCATCCCTCAATGTCGTGTTCTCCGCCGCCGCCGAAATGCCGTCCGCCGCAGAGCCGAGCAATCACCCCTGCAATCACACCGAGTATTGTAATGACCGCCAAAACTACCACCAATGTCTCGATTGATTGGTGGGTTGAGGAATGCCTTGGGGACTCCACCACCACCGTCACCGGCGGTTCACCTACTAACGGCGGCAGCATGTTTTCCAATTTCCGGCCAACTGTTTCCGACATGACCAGGATCATACACACTTCTTTAACAAAAACTCTTTTCTTGTTTCTGATTCTTTTCCCCTTTTTGAATGGTTTGAAACTCAAAAGCTGATGCAAAGAGAAGGGGAAGTGGGAGTAATGGAAGAGGGTTCTCTGATAGGGATAGTGTGAAGCCAAAAAAGTGGACAAAATGTGCTACAAAATAGTAACTTCAATCAATGGAGAAGTACAGGATGTTATTAAAGAGGTTGAATTGAAGAGAGAAAAACTCAAAAAAAAAAAAATAGTAGACCAGTTTTAATTATCAATCACTGGGGTCTTTGGCTGGGGTAGGGGGCTTTTTTGGCATTCTAGCAATCAAAACTATACTAACGTTCGAAAGGTACTCTCTGAGGAAGAAACCGAAAAACATGATTCCAACTTTGAAAAATGAAATCACAGTTGCTGCTGCTTTTTGGTTGTGTTGTGGGTACTTTAAGATATCATTTAGTGTTTAATATTCATAGTTAAGTTACAGTAACTTATCGAATTTTTCCGATAAAATGATTTAATGAATGATGTGTCAAACATGAAAATACGTCTGAAAATCCATAACCTAGAAGTCTAACTAATACTTGTCAACACATAGTTCGCGAGCCATGCTCACTATCTCAGTAAACATCAGTTAGTAGTGAAATGTAAAAACACTTTGATGATTTTAAGGAACAAAACACTATTGATAGGCATCTTAACTCCTCGAGTAAACACTTTATTCCAATAATGTTAACTAATCGATTATAAAATTTACTTTAATGTAGACATTGATTCAATGTCTTTAAGGTTAAAACATTTGTCATTGGCCCCTTCTTTTCTCACTTTAAGAATTTGCGGTTTGTCTTTCCCTTTTAAAATGGGTTTGGTCTTTTGAGGAAATGTAGTGCCGACTTCTTAAGGAAACTTTAAAAAATGTCATTTTGAGGCATTAGTATAATAGTGGAATATGAGGCCAAGCAAACTTGGGGAACAGTACTTTTTATTTGTGAAAATGTCAGTAGTAAACTTTGTACTATCCGGAATGTAACAGTGCCAATAATGGTACACAAGTAATGGTACACGTACCCATCTGATTTTCTTTTCCGACTATTACATTAAATTTTCATTTTAATGTCTTGGTTCCGGAAATTCTCTCTGTTCAGATGTCTTTTGAGGTCATCCAAACTCCAAAGATACTGCTCCATTTATTTCCGAGAAAAAAGGGGTTATATTTGACAAACTAATACCCTCCATCATGTCCTTAATTTAAAGTATTTTGATTTTATCATATATTTTACTTAAAACGTATTTTTAATTGATAAAAAAATATTAAAAATATTTCATAACAATCAAAAGAACCCAACGAATGTGAAAATATGTTTTTAAGATTTTTTTTCTAATTAAAAATACGTACTAGGTGAAACCTAAGACAAATTAAAATGCCTTATACTCCCTCCGTCCCATAATTATTGTCCAATTTGTCCAAAAAATTTTGTCCCAAAATTATTCTACAATTAGACTTTTTATGGATCAAGTTACACTTTTGTCCTTAGTAAAAAACATTATCCATAAAATCTTAGTGGCTAAACAATTACTTATGTAGGGGTATATCCGGTTGTTTAAGGTAAAATATAGTAAAGTTTGACCAAAAATAAAATCTTTCATTTTAGTAAAATTAGACAATAATTATGGTACGGGGAGTATTAAATACATGAGTAAGTACAATGCAAGATTTGGTTTTGTCAAGTATCAAGCATTTGTAGTGTATTTTTCTTAGCCAATTGTTATCTTCTGTTTTTTTTTTTTTTGTTTTATTTTATTTAACCGTGATTTTAAAACTTTAACTGGAGTGAGAAAAAATCTCAATAGATCTTGGTTTTTTTTTTGTTTTTTTTTTTTTGGTTTTGGTTTTATACTCTTTATGAGTATGAACTTTTGCATTTCGAAAATTATATTTTGTTTCATTAAAAGAGCACTTTTATCGTATAGTATTCCATTAATGGCTTGTTCAGGCGAATAATCAACCACCACATCGGTAGTGATCATGAGGTACTTTGTTCAGTCGATTATGTATAAACTAGATCAGAGTTTTATTTACTAAATTGTTTTAACATCTAAAATATTTTAGTTCAAAATAGAGGACACCGAGGAAAGTTTTGGGGGGGAGAAAAACAGGGTAAAAAAAGAAAAAAAGAAAGAAAGTATTGTTCTGTAAAAATGGCTTCTGCCATGCAAAGTTTGTCCCAAGTAGGATCACGGGTTTGCATTAAAGCACTACACAAAGGAATCCCATTTTCACATTTTCTTTAAAGCTTAAACCTACTTAGACGAATGTTTCCCAATTTTTTTTTTTTTCCCTCTGAAACTGCATCAAGCCTATGGACACATCTGTCCTAAGTGATTTATTACCTTATGTGATGTCTTCTTCCTCCATTGTCTGTGGGGCATAAAGCCATTCACTTCCTCCGAAGTTATTTTGTGCTTCTACTTATATTCAACAAAACGGAACGAGTATTATACTTAATTAATATCATGAATCCTGAGACTCGGAGACCAGGCATAAGAAAATGATTCCACTTGGTGTATGTAGTATAATGTAGAATTAAACAAAGAATACCGAATATTTTTCGGTCAAACGATAAAGAGTTTGTGTTCCATTGAACTTATTTCGTTTTCGAGTATATATATGAACACATAATGTCTAAGAGAAACATGTAACCGTTGAAATGTCCATCAAGTCAAATGGAGATCAAATCTTCTGGTCCGAGTAAACAAGTTCAGAATTCGCGTAGGGTGGTGAATTTTTTTGGTTAGTGAAAAAATTCAATCCAGTTTACTCTAAATTTTCTATATGTCTGCTGGGAATATGACATATACAGTAAAATGGAACAACGAATGATATAACATGTATTTAGTTATTTAATCGTCCCTTATTATTCTGATAGTTATAAAATTAGTATGTGATGTTTTTGTCTTTGTATATTATGAGTTACTATTCTATTTTACTGTATATAATCCTTTGTCCATATTCCTGCTCATGACGCATCTAATTTAGTAATGAACTTTCTTTAAACTAAGAATCCCGTCATGCACATTTGGAGCTTGGCAGGAGCTTAAGGCCCTATTTGGTAAACCATTTTAGCACTTAAACTTAATTGATTAAGTGCTTAATTGATTGGTACTGTTTGACAACACAATCTCATTACAACTTAATTAATTAATGACTTAAATTTTAAGTGCGTTTGATAACTCATATTAGGATGTCTTAAAAAATTTAAGTGAGTCTGAAATACTAATACGAATGTGAGTTTAAAAATAAGTGATAGGTCCATCACTTATGTCTGAACTGAATTCCTGAGACGATTTTTTCTTCTATTTATTTACTTTTATGTTTATACTTTTGATATTTTATCTTGAAATATTTTTATTAATCTTGATATTTAGTTATAAATTGAATTTATTTAATTATTTTAATTTAATAAATATTTGTTTTAATATAAAAATAAAATACTAATAGAGTCCATTATAAATATGTATTTATCATGATATTTTTTTGACAATGATAAAGATATGATATTATTATTAACTAAAAAAATTATTATATGATAAAATTTAAATATTTTTATCACATAAGTTTATAATAATACTATTATCTTTATAATCATAGTTTCATATATTTATATTTATATTTATATTTATATATACATAAATTTTTTTTAGATTAAATTATAAGTCGAGATATTTTAATTTTAGTGTTTAGACTTAAGATTTCAGATATTTTATTCAGTTTTCAGATTTTAATATTTATCAAACAAGACAATTTAATCAGTTCAGTACTTATAATTCAGACTTTAGATTTCAGACTTCAGACCCAAATTAAGTTTTATCAAACAAAGCCTAAGAATCTTTTGGGCTGAAAAGAATGGATTTTTCCATTTCATTTGGAATCACACTAGTAGAAGTTTTCAATATCTACGAATGATATTTTCTTGAGGGACGGCAATAAGAAATTAACTGGTTTTTTGGCCGTTCGTCTTTGTATGTTTAGAATATCCTTCATTGCAGATTTATCGTATATGTGGAAACTGGAATCTTATCAGACTAAAGTCTTATCTATAAATACGTTCAGCACTCTGAAACAACTATCACCAAGGAATTACACATCTTCATTGAAGCTAGGTTTGTTGTTATCTCTCGCTTTCTTCCATAAGAAAAGAGATATTATGGCTAGGTTTTCTAATAATCGCTTCATCTTCTTTGTGGTTCTCGCGGTAACAGGTGAGTACTAATAAAATACTCCTTCCGAAAATGATTGTACTGTTGGCTAGAACAAACAGGACGGGAAATAATTTCTTTCTTTTGCAATTTCTCATTTCCTTTTTTTGGCTTGCTTTATTTATAATTTATTTCCTTCTTTTCGATCAGCATATATTTACTATACAATCTTTGCCATATACATTTCCATTGGAAATTAACTCCTCACTATTCTACTTCTATGCTATATCTTAGGATGGGAGCACTGGCACTGTAACCTACACTTCTACCAACTAGAACAATTAATTTGGGACAAAAAGAATAACATGTATGACTTATTCTTTCTTCCGCAGTTGATGTTATGCTAGGAGTTAAGTCTTTTTCTTTCGTTTCGCCGAATGGCCGGAAGTTGCTCCAAGTTTGTGGTGGATCTTGCACTCCGGCAGTCACACAATGCCCAGAGGGCTGCGACTTTTGCGTATTCGACCACACGGACCCCCCTGTTATGGGGACTTGCTTGCCGCACTGGTTATGAATTAGTATATGATATGATAAGGATATTCTACTCTACCATTGAATAATCCAAATTAATTTACAACTTATATGGTGGCTGTTTAGCAAAAAATTTTTAATCACCTACGTGATGGATGTGAGCGTGACATAAAGTCGGCGCTTGTTTACTATATAAAGTAGTATTATTTTTATTTTTATGAGACGGAAGGATATACATCAATATGTCTGTATTGAGTTGAATT